TAACCAGTACCCTAGAACTTTTGGTTGCTCAACCAGTAACCGGTAACCAGTACCCTAGAACTTTTGGTTACTCAACCAGTAACCAGTAACCAGTACCTAACCAATTGGTTAGCGATCCCTGCAAGGTATGACCTGACCGAACCAAGTGAGACTGCACTGGAGATCCTGCAAAATACCAGGTTAGATTAGAATAGGATAGCAAAATTTGATAAGCTTGCTTATGACGAAGACGGAGGACCGATTAGTCATGTTTACTATAGAAAATACAGTACTATACTACCTCTGTAGCGTGCGGTACAAATCCTACACGGCTACCGCACAGCTACGGCACGGTACATACGTACGAGCCGTAGGATGTGCCGTAGAGTCGCGCGCATCGTGCGCGATCGAATCGAATGAGTCGAATCGATTAAGTCGAATCGAATCGAATGACGTTAGTCGCACACCCATTTTTAAGATAACCCATCTTGCTTCTCACCCTTGTTTTAAGATACTTTGAAAGGGTACGTACCGTACCTACATGTACTTGTACATAATCCCCTCTGGACTGCATTTGATTGGTCACTTTTACGGGTACCGCAACTCAAAACATGTGCAACTAGATGCTCTTGCCCAGACTAGCTTAACCCTCCTCCTTCTCCCCTCTGGAGCCCCTTCAACTAATCACTTTTACGGGTACCGCAACTCAAAACATGTGCAACTAGATGCCTTTGTCCAGACTAGCTTAACCCTCCTCCTTCTCCCCTCTGGAGCCCCTTCAACTAATCACTTTTACGGGTACCGGCCTACGCAAAAATAAGAGTGATTAGTTAAGCTGAGTATAGAAAATACAGTACAAACCTTCCTGTACAAGGTGGTAGGAAATGTACAGTATGTAGGAAATCCTACGACCGTAGCGTATGTAGACGGTCGTAGGCTTGTACACAGCTGTAGCAATCCTACGACCGTCGTGTACGTACACGGTGGTAGGCCTCTACACATCAGTAGAAGCCTACCACCGTGTACGTACGCGACGGTGGTAGGCCTTGTACGTGCTGACATCATCGAGTACCGGTTCAACTTTAATGATAGACCCCATATTTAAGATAACGAGGTGGCTATAATACTCACGTTTAAGATATCCCGGATATCTCGAAAGCTAGATAGCTATGCCATACCGTAGCTAGCACTATGATAGAGATCCCTCTGGAGTGCATTTGACTGGTGACTTTTGGGTATACCAGTGCACTCAAAACCGCGACAGTAATGGGGATCAAGAGAGAACCTTCAGTGGAGCTACATGGATGAACGATAGGCTAAAGGCAAACCAGGGCGACTTCACATTTCAAATGAAGGTTCTCACGTACAAGAATCGTCACTTCCTGCGCAACCACAGGCACCTCGTGGCGGTTGCAAGGTTGCTGGAAGCCAAGAACAGGACGAAGAGACTCTTCAGAGAACAGGTGAAATCCCTCAACAAGCCACGCAAAGAAGGAGAACCAGATCTGACAGAAGAGGATATCACAATGGAGATGCTGGAGGAGCTGGAGTACTACTCCAAAGAGGAAGAGGAGCAGATTCGTGCTGCCAATGCTGCAAAATCTAAGGTATGTCTAGGAAACAGCGATGGATTGACATGGGGCGGAAGCAAACAACACAAAAGTCTTGCGCTGCATGTTCAGACCCTCAAGGTAACCACTTGCAATTGGTTACTAACCAGTGGTTACTGGTTACTTACCTATAAAATAACCAAAAGTTTTGGTTACTCAACCAGTAACCGGTAACCAGTACCCTAGAACTTTTGGTTCTCAACCAGTAACCGGTAACCAGTACCCTAGAACTTTTGGTTACTCAACAGTAACCAGTAACCAGTACTAACCAATTGGTTAGCGATCCCTGCAAGGTATGACCTGACCGAACCAAGTGAGACTGCACTGGAGATCCTGCAAAATACCAGGTTAGATTAGAATAGGATAGCAAAATTTGATAAGCTTGCTTATGACGAAGACGGAGGACCGATTAGTCATGTTTACTATAGAAAATACAGTACTATACTACCTCTGTAGCGTGCGGTACAAATCCTACACGGCTACCGCACAGCTACGGCACGGTACATACGTACGAGCCGTAGGATGTGCCGTAGAGTCGCGCGCATCGTGCGCGATCGAATCGAATGAGTCGATCGAATCGAATCGAATCGAATCGAATGACGTTAGTCGCACACCCATTTTTAAGATAACCATTTGCTTTCACCCTTGTTTTAAGATACTTGAAAGTACGTACCGTACTACATGTACTTGTACATAATCCCCTCTGGACTGCATTTGATTGGTCACTTTTACGGGTACAAACTCAAAACATGTGCAATAGATGCTCTTGCCAGACTAGCTTAACCCTCCTCCTTCTCCCCTCTGGAGCCCCTTCAACTATCACTTTTACGGGTACCCAACTCAAAACATGTGCAACTAGATGCCTCTTGCCCAGACTAGCTTAACCCTCCTCCTTCTCCCTCTGGAGCCCCTTCAACTAATCACTTTTACGGGTACCCAACTCAAAACATGTGCAACTAGATGCCTTTGTCCAGACTAGCTTAACCCTCCTCCTTCTCCCCTCTGGAGCCCCTTCAACTAATCACTTTACGGGTACCCAACTCAAAACATGTGCAACTAGATGCTCTTGCCAGACTAGCTTAACCCTCCTCCTTCTCCCCTCTGGAGCCCCTTCAACTAATCACTTTTACGGGTACCACAACTCAAAACATGTGCAACTAGATGCTCTTGCCAGACTAGCTTAACCTCCTCCTTCTCCCCTCTGGAGCCCCTTCAACTAATCACTTTTACGGGTACGCAACTCAAAACATGTGCAACTGATGCCTTTGTCCAGACTAGCTTAACCCTCCTCCTTCTCCCCTCTGGAGCCCTTCAACTAATCACTTTTAGCGGTACCGCAACTCAAAACATTGCAACTAGATGCCTTTGTCCAACTAGCTTAACCCTCCTCCTTCTCCCCTCTGGAGCCCCTTCAACAATCACTTTTACGGGTACCGGCCTACGCAAAAATAAGAGTGATTAGTTAAGCTGAGTATAGAAAATACAGTACAAACCTTCCTGTACAAGGTGGTAGGAAATGTACAGTATGTAGGAAATCCTACGACCGTAGCGTATGTAGACGGTCGTAGGCTTGTACACAGCTGTAGCAATCCTACGACCGTCGTGTACGTACACGGTGGTAGGCCTCTACACATCAGTAGAAGCCTACCACCGTGTACGTACGCGACGGTGGTAGGCCTTGTACGTGCTGACATCATCGAGTACCGGTTCAACTTTAATGATAGACCCCATATTTAAGATAACGAGGTGGCTATAATACTCACGTTTAAGATATCCCGGATATCTCGAAAGCTAGATAGCTATGCCATACCGTAGCTAGCACTATGATAGAGATCCCTCTGGAGTGCATTTGACTGGTGACTTTTGGGTATACCAGTGCACTCAAAACATACATGTGCAAGCAGCCAACTAGATAGCTTTGTCCAGACTAGCTTAACCCTCCTCCTTCTCCCTCTGGAGCCCCTTCAACTAATCACTTTGGGTATACCAGTGCACTCAAAACATACATGTGCAAGCAGCAACTAGATAGCTTTGTCCAGACTAGCTTAACCTCCTCCTTCTCCCCTCTGGAGCCCTTCAACTAATCACTTTTGGGTATACCAGTGCACTCAAAACATACATGTGCAGGCAGCCAACTAGATAGCTTTGTCCAGACTAGCTTAACCCTCCTCCTTCTCCCCTCTGGAGCCCCTTCAACTAATCACTTTTGGGTACCAGTCACTCAAATACATGTGCAACTAGATAGCTTTGTCCAGACTAGCTTAACCCTCCTCCTTCTCCCCTCTGGAGCCCTTCAACTAATCACTTTTGGGTATACCAGTGCACTCAAAACATACATGTGCAAGCAGCCAACTAGATGCTTTGTCCAGACTAGCTTAACCCTCCTCCTCTCCCCTCTGGAGCCCCTTCAACTAATCACTTTTGGGTATACCAGTGCACTCAAAACATACATGTGCAAGCAGCCAACTAGATAGCTTTGTCCAGACTAGCTTAACCCTCCTCCTTCTCCCCTCTGGAGCCCCTTCAACTAATCACTTTTGGGTATACCAGTGCACTCAAAACATACATGTGCAAGCAGCCAACTAGATAGCTTTGTCCAGACTATTTAACCCTCCTCCTTCCTCCCA